CTATTTTATGTAAGCCGCCCTGAGTCCCCGCGGGGAAAAGGGCGGCCTATAAATATTAATAAAATATCAAAAAAAAATATCAAATATCAAAATATCTTCTTAGAAAATTAAGAAAAAAATATTATATATTGCCAGCGAGCTTCCATTTTGAGATGACAAGATTCAAATCAAACCTGCAACCACAATATAACATGCACCCCCAATAACTCCTAGCATGAATTGTACCAATAATTGTGTCTGTTTGTAGGCCTAAATCTCTGAAAGGTTTAAGGTATCTATTTTTATTATCAAAAATTCCAAAATGTCAAGCAGATTTTTCTCATTTCTTATTCCAAAGGGCAAAAGATATCTTAATTATTGTTGAATTAAAATTGGGAGAAGCTATTTTTATCCCTATTCCCTGTCCATGCCCCTGATATGCATACATAGTTGGAACCTTCATGGACAATTAGTTTTGGTATTCAAAATATATAGTGTAGAAGACAACTGGCAAAAGGAACTTCCCGTTGTTCAACTGAGGAAAGAACTGGAGAAAACAAGATACACCCCTTCCTGAAAAGGTGTTCTCTCAATCCAATCAACTGGACAACTTCTACCTGGTGGATTATCTCTTACAGTCAGAGTTTATGCCTGGGAATGGGACAGAAGTCACACTTGCCAGCACAACCAGGATGGAAAAGGGAGCTCTCCTGCTGTTTCTGCACCTCTCAGATGCACTTAGTACCAATGACCAGTGTTCACTGGTACTGCTTCTGCGAATTGGGTGTAGATGTTACCATTTTATAGTAGTTCCACTGTTTCCTGAGTGATAGTAACAGAATTGGACTTAGAGAGACGTTAGTAATAGCTTTTTTGCATTAATAGTACCATACATTCCAGACAATGGAAAGTAATTTATCTACTCTATTCTGTCCTGGTCAGGCCCATTTGGAATACTTGGGATGGTAACTAACTGGCAAGTTCACAGGAAAGCTTCCAAAATGGTAAAGGGAGGCCAGAAGTAAAATCTTGTGAGGAACAGTTGTGTATTGGATATTTTTAGGCCACAGAACAGAAAACTAAGGGGATAGCTTTCAAATATTTAGAGTGTTATCCAAAGAAGGAGGGGTAGACTAGACAGCATAGGACTGACCATAATCAATGGAAACCATAATGAAGAAAATTCAGGAAAGTTGTCAGGAGGAACTTCCTGTCAGCCAGTGGAGATTTATAAATAAATATATTCATTGTATTCTGGAAAACAATTTGTAGTTTGTGATAAAGATATTAATTTTAAACTTCTAACCTCCAACATAAACAAACTCTCTTGTGTAACTTTCTTTGAAGTTATTTTTATTTTATAAAGCTCTTTATAACTTTTCACTTGATTCCTATGGTATCGAATATGTTCCCAAGACCACATTTGTAGCTTAGGTTGGACGTTTACTTCAAGAATGCCTTGTGTAACATATTGCCACCTAATAGAAAAAGGAAAAAAATGTTAGGACATTTTAAAGCAAAGACAATATTTCTATTTAAATTCTATTTTAGTAAAGCAATCTTCACAAATTTATAATTCTTGATTCTCTTCCCCAAAATACAAAAATTAAATATATTACTTTATTAATAAGGGTACTTATGAAATTCTTTCCTATCAAGTTTTTTGGGGATTTTGAATTCCAATTTATGAGAATATTCTAACAGAAAGTCCATCAGAATTGTAGAAGTTTCCAAAAGTTATTGGATGTGTACCATTTCCTGGCATTGTTGTGAACAGGAACCTCTGGCCTATATTTCCTATATGGTAAATTCCGGGTCATCATATCAATTGATTCAAGAAGTTCCATAATACTGAAATACTGGAAGAAAAAATGCAATAAGATATTTATTACTAATATGGTATAATAATCACAACAAAATGTAACAGTATTTGCCTTAAAAGTTACATTATTTAAAGGTTGAATACAGTGTAACATTAGAAGCTTTCATTTTATAACAACAATGGAGTATTTAACTTTGAGTTAAAGTAATAATTGTTCCAAGAAAAATATATTCTTTGGCAGATATATTTATTTCAAGTTGTTCACAAATCAATACTGATACGAATACATGATTAAAAATCCCCATGGCTATATGGAAAGTGGTGTAAAAGTGAATGATGTTGGGAAGTATTCAGTCGATGCCCAACAATATGGCTAAAAATTCAGGAGTATGAAAAGTCCCATCTTCAAATAGCACTGTTATTGATTAATTGACTGTGCATTTGACTTAGTATTGATTCCTGGTGGTTGTCTGACAAGTCTACAGTTTTCTTGGTAATATTTTGGAAGTGGTTTGCCATTGTCTGCTTCCTGGGGCACATTTTCGACACTTAAATAACCTTGATATACAAGGCTACTCAAATGTAAATTTGGGAATTCTTTCAAGGATTACCGAAAACTATAGCCATAAAAAGATGCAAATAGAACAATGAGAATTTAATTCAGGAAATAAAAAAGCTTGCTATAAAAATCTGAATCATTTGTGCCGTTACCTGTGGTTTATTCAGTTCAATGGTTATATCCTGAAGATTTACATCCAGATCTAGCTTTGGTGCAGAAAAGTCAAAATCAGATCGTGGATTCATACGGAGTTTGGCTTTAGCTGAAATCGGACGGAATACTAAAAAGCAGAATTTTAGATAAAGTTAATCAAGAAACAAATAGTTCATGCAAATAAAAAAATATATGGATGTTCCTTATGGAGGGATAAGAAAACAAGATTCACTTTTTAGGCACCAAAAGCTAAATTTTATAATCAGTTGCCCAACTAGGGACAAGGCTATACTATGTTTGCTCACATGTAGCATTCTGGAGAATAAAACAAAGATTTTACTATTTAGATTTAGATTTTATTTGTGATTTATAGGCCGCCCTTTTCCCTGAGGGGACTCAGGGCGGCTT